TTCCCTACATTGTATTGTCACCGAAACACTAACATGATGGCAATTGCTTCCCCTCCCATCATCCCGCAACCCCCCTCCTTTCTGTCTCCCAGGTGAGCCAAGGTGTAAAGTTACATTGCAGTTCAGCTGGAGAAAGGGGGTGGGGGGAGCCTGTTAAAGGGATTAAAGAAGGAGTGTGGAATGCCCAAGCTTAGTTCTGGTCCCTTCCCCATCTTGGCTGTAGACCTTGATATTCCACCTGCACTGTGTAGGGTTGCTGGGTCCCCCCTGGCCACTGGAGGAGGATGGGGTGTGTGTTGGGTTGCCAGATCCAGGTTGGGAAACTCTTGGAGATTTGGGGGTGGACCCTGGGGAGGACAGGCACCTCAGTGGAGTACAATGCCATACAGTCCACCCACCAAAGCATCCGTTTTCCCCAGGGGAACTGGCCTCTATAATCTGGAGATGAGCTGTAATTCCAGAGGATCTCCAGGTCCCACCTGGAGTCCGGCATCCCTAAGCAGTCACTCAGGAGGACTGCCTTTGAATTGGGTCAGAGGTGGTATTTCCTTTGATCTGGCTCAAAGAAGAAAGCCTCCATAGGCCTGTGAGTCACGCTCAGAATAATTGCGACTTATCTTGTGAACACGCCCTGCAAATGCGGGGGTATGCTGAACTCCAACATGCTGGGGAAAAGTAAGACCGCCCCAGATCCAATGCTACTTTTGTAGTTATTCCCTGGTATTCCTTCTCACACTTACTGCAAAATATTACCATATTCCTATGGAGCTTCACAACCAAGCAGGGATTTGAACCTGGGTCCCTCCCCCCCACATCTACGTGCAGCATTTTAACCTCGACACCGCACTAGCCGTTCCAGTCGAGTGACATACGGCCTGTGAGGCGATGGGGGAAGCTCCCTTTTTGGATGCGGCCAGGGGAAGGAAGACCACAGTCGGATTGCATTCTAACATCCTTGTCAGTAAAGAATGAGGGAAAGGAGAAATACGGACACCAGGCCATGTGTAAATAAAGTATGGCCCATTTTTTCCCCCCATTAGTTGTCAGACGGGCTTTAACCCTCCCTTAAGTGACCATATATAATCCATGTGTCGGGGTGTATAAATATTTTCCAGTTATGCTCCATCAAATGCATATAAACAGGAAGCTAATACTTCCAACTGAATTTGGCGTGCCTAGATAGATGGGCTGCGATTATACAGTGACTCCCATCTAGGGCAATTGAATGCAAAGCACGTTTTGAAAAATATGTACAAGGAGGAACAACAGGCGGCTGGTATGTGTGGGGGGACAACAGTTGCAGCTTTCGGGCTGAGTGACAGGGCTTCTCTTGCTGCCATTCAAAGGATGATGGACATTAGAGCAGAGCGCGGGAAACAGTTTTCCGTTATTATTTGTATACTGCATTTACTCGAAGGAAGACAACACTGAATGTAAGACGGCCCCCTTAAAAATGCTATGGACACACACACACACACATTTATTATTGGACATAACCGTGACTTGTATGCAAATGGAAGATGACCCCTCTTTTGGGGATGGCGTACCTGTGAAAAAAACTAGTTCTGCATTTGAGTATTTACTGTATTATAAAAGCCACTGCCCTGTGATCTAACTGAGTAACCGCCATGAGGACTTTCTCTAGAGATGGTCTGGGAGTTCCCCCTGGAAACTTAATTCCCACACTTGCAGGAGCCATTTTGGATCGTGACCACAATGCAAGGGAAGAGTGGGCCTAAGCCTTCTGCCCTCCCCCATACTGTTTGCCTGACTCAGCATGGCCCCACTGAGCTGTTACTTACCTCCAGGGCTATTTTGGGGCAGGAACGCACAGGAACGGAGTTCCAGCTGGCTCCCAAGTTGGCCACGCCCAGGAGAAACTCATTAGCATAATAGGCCACACGCAACAGCAGCAACTCATTCGGATTGGCTACAATTAGGGGTGTGTGGCCTAACATGCAAAAACAAGGTAAACAGAATAAGAAGCAAAAGGTGGGTGTGGCTGGATGACCACACTTCTGGTAACATGGGGGTATGGCCTAATATGCGAATGAGCTGTGCTGTCAGGGTGTGGCCTAATATGCTAATGAGTTCCTGCTGTTGGGTATGGCCTATTATGCTAATGAGTTCCTCCTGGGCTTTTTCTACAAAAAAGCCCTGCTTACCTCATGCGGGAGAAATTTACATCGCTATCAGCACATGGAAGTTTTCCCAGCAGGGCACACAGTGGCTTCTTGGATCTGTTTCAGGTCAGGAAAATGGTATGGAGGAGGCTTAATCCCCCTGTCCTCCCGTGCTGTGGTCCTGATCCAAATCTGGCCCACACGTGCTTCAGAATTCAGTGGAACCCCATACACCTCTCTGAAAGGTGACCTGGGAGGGTTTAAGAATCAGTGTGATTTTCGGTGGCTAAGATAGCCTGATCTTGTCAAATCTCAGAAGCTAAGCACGGTTGACCCTGGTTAGTATTTGGATGGGAGACCACCAAGGAATGCCAGGGTTGCTACACAGAGGCAGGCCGTGGCAACCCATCTCTGAACATCCCTTGCCTTGAAAACTCCACGGGGTCACCATAAATCACCTGTGACTTGATGGCGCTTTCCACCACCAAATTCCCTGGGGGTCACCAGAAGAAGAAGAAGAAGTAGTTGGACTTATACCCCACCCTTCACTTGGAGGCTCAGAGCAGCTTACAAACTCCTTTCCCTTCCCCTCCCCACAACAGACACCCTGTGAGGTAGGTGGGGCTGAGAGAGCTCTGACACAAACTGCTCTTTTCAAGGACAGAACTATGGCTTGCCCAAGGTCATCCAGCCAGGTGCAAATGGAGGAGAGGGGGATTAAACCGGGTTCTCCCAGTTCTCTGCATACTTAACCACCACACCAAATTGGTTCAGGAGATTTAGCCCCATCATAGTTGTGGCATACATATCGAGACATTGATGGGTTGTGGGGACAAAAATCCTGCCCATCTCCTGTCACCTCTGCCAGTAAGAGACATGCAGTGATCCTGCAGAGTGTCCGTTTCCTTTTACCAATCCTTACAGGTTATCTGAAAGCCAACACACAGTGCAGAGTTGCCACAGGAGAGTGCTTTAAATTGCTTCAAGTGGCAGCTACCACCATGAGATGAGCTGCTTTCAGGGTTGCCTGTGGGGTCTCCAGGCTGCTCCCTGGGATCTTCTGGCATGTGCACAAAGCACATGCTGTGATGATGTCACCCAGAGGTGAAGGCATCGCACTGGACATATCACGCTGGGGACGCTCTAGCATTTGGGGAGGGGAAACTCTATGGTTACCATAGAGTTTTTACCCAAATGCTTGAGTACCCCCTGTGTGACGTGCCTGGTGTGATCGCACCGGGCACATCAGGCACAAGGGAACTGTTTGGGGGTGGGGTTCCCCCTTCCAGCCAGCTGGCCAGTGGTAGATTGAAGCCCCTGAAAGTGGGCGAACCCCTGCCACTCCCAGAGGTCCAGCAACCCTAGCTGCTTCTCTGCAGTGGCGCAACATACGTGGATCAGGCAATTTTCTCTGTGCCTTTGAAACCCCCAGGGAGGAGGGGCTGTTTGTAACCGAGTGGAAGAAATCTGTGTGGGAAGCAACCGCAAAAAAGGCATCTCATCGCCTACTAACCGCTGCCACACGAAGCCATTTGCATCTTCCTCCATGCGGCAAGAGTTCTGCCGTGCCCATATATTTTCCCATTATTATTAATAATAACATTTACCCTTAACACAGTGTACCTTTCATTTGTTCATATTACCCCACTTACAGTCATCTTTTTAAATAACCATGTAGATTAATCCCCATATTGTAGAATGTAGATCGGCGGTGGTGGCTAACATTTTTTTAAAGCTGTTTTTTTGTCTTGATGGGACTCCAAGTAACTCCCGCTAGGAGAAAAATAGCTTTTTAAAAACTGCTTTCAGGTAGGAACGCAAGGGCGCTGGAGGGTTCAGCTCCCCGCTTCTGCTGCCCTGTGATGTACTTTAAACTCCACTTTAAAGGCAACCTGGGGTTCCCCCTGTCTGCATGCGTCCTAAGGCCACATATTGTGTTTTAGCCGCATTCATGTGTCAAATGAAACTGTGATTAAGGGAAAATGTACAATGAAGCCAGCTTACTCTGGTATGGGTTCCCTCTCCTCCTTGCACCAAGAATCATGGTTAAGCAGTAACTCAAGTTACTCAGGACGTACAGACGCAGACACGTGGGTTGATGGGAGTTTATAGCTCCGGTTACCGAGGGGAAACTTAACTCCGTTTAACCCACACGCCTGCATCTTCTGTGCAGTGACACACATCCATTGATCAGGAAAGAGCTGGAGTTTAACAAAGATTTTTGGTGCAAAAAGGAAGGTGCTCCGGTGAGCCCTGGAAGAAACTGGATTTACGACATTTTTTTCTTTAGCAGTGATGGGAAGTGCCATCAAGTCGCAGCTGACTTATGGCAACCCATCGGGTTTTCAAGGCAAGAGACTAACAGGGGCCTACAACCTCTAGACTTTGGTCTCCCATCCAAGTTCTGAATAAATAAATCTGAGTGTACTGACTAGCAGACTCGGGGTAGGGTATCAGGTGCCAGAAGTCAAGCAAGGCAGAGTCTTTCAGTCCAAAGGTCAGGGTTCCAGAAAATCAGGTAAGACAGAGTCAGTTTTTCAGCATCTGTCATACAGATTGCATCCATGCTTAACAGCATCCCTTGGCTGGTTTTTATAGCCATATGCTTAAGGGTTATGCTTGCAGCCAGCTGCAATGTTCCCTCTAAGCTGAGTTAGTGTGAGCTAGCTCACAGTTTTTTAGCCTCCCACTCACACACTTAGCTCAGGAAGGATGACTCCAGAGTAAATGGATTTCTGCAGTAGCCAAATCGCTTGCTCACACTTTAATGCCAGTAGCTCACAAAGTAGAATTTTTGCCCACAAGACTCCACAGCTTAGAGGGAGCATTGGTCCCAGGTCATTTCCCTTTTGCGTCCCGTGCATCACCTGTAATAAAAGGCAGCAACGACAAGCAATCTCTTACCATCTCTTGCAGGTAAGCAACCCAAAGGCAGGTTTCCAATCGAGAACTACCGTGCCCGGCTGGCTTCCTACCTGCGCAAGGATGCCCGACGAGATTGCTGTTTTGAACTGATGTGTCCTGGCAAGCGCACCTATGAGGTAGGTTTGGCAGAAAGCGAGGGCAGTCTGCCTGCCAAAATATCCTAGAAGAAAGGATGAAAACTGTCCAACAATCTCCTTTCCCCTTTGAGATACAAAAATTAAAGGGAGAGGGGTACGAGCACTGTCTCATGTCTGGGGTCTAATCAGTTAGCCTCTTTTCCCCCTCAATGACATCCCTCTCTAGGATGCAGGATTCTTCGGGCCTTACAGCCACTGGGGAAAGCTTGCTGTGTGAACTGGCAGCCGTGAGGATGGAGGGGGTGGGGATCAGGGCATCTGACCTGTTTACCCCACAGCTTCCCATTCACCAGGTCTGGCTCTACCATAATCAACTGGCAATGACAAAGGAATAGATATTTCCCCTCCCCACTTAAATGGTGCAACCAAGGAGATGTCTTCCATGAGATCTGCACAGCTCTTGCATTGGTCCCACAATTGACTGTTGGTCATGTAGGTGGGCAGGAGGCTAGTGGGGATTGACATCACAGCTGCATAGGGTTCAAGTGTCCCTAGGGGCCCCGCCCCAGAGGCCCGCTTCCCGCCGCCAGCGGATCGGGCCCCAGGGGGAACCCCCACCCCCAAAGCACGCAACGTGCACGTCACCTGGAAGTGACGCGGGCACGCTGGGGGCGGGGCCACAGTCATCCGAGGGAAAACTCTATGGTTTTCCCTCAGATGGTCGTGGCCCCGCCCCCAGCGTGCCCGGTGTGCCCGTGTCACTTCTGGGTGACGGGGTTGCGGTGCGCGCGCGCACTCCCAAAGCAGCACTGGAGTCCCCCGCTCCAGCGCCACTTCTGACTTGGCAACCCTAGCCATGGCTCAGTGGAAGAGCATCTGCTTGGCATGCAGAAGGTCCCAGGTTCAATCCCTGGCATTTCCAGTTAAAAGGACCAGGCAGGAGGTGATGTGAAAGAGTCTGCCTGAGCCCCGGGAGAGCTGTCGCCAGTCTGAGTAGACAGTACTGACTTTGATGGACCCAGGATCTGATTCAGTATAAGGCAGTTTCATGTATTCATGTGTATTCATTAGGTGTGCAAAGTGCTGTCCTAACAGTGTAATCCTAAATAGTGTTGTACCTTTCTATGTCCACTGGTTCTGCTTAGGGCTCAGCTAGACATTACACATGACACAACTTCAGTCAGGGATCCCCCAACCCAACTCCTGCGACCCTGTAGCCGCAGGGGGCTGACGAGGGCGATCCCCCCCCCACGAATATGCCCAGCCGACTCAGAGGAGGGAGAGGAGTGGCCTCACCAGGTCTTCCTGCATCCACAGCCGGCTTCTCAAAGTTGAGAAGCTGGCTGCAGAAGCAGGAAGACCGGGCGAGGCCGTGCAGCTGTCGCCTCGCTCCCTTCCCTCTGATGCGAGCCTGAGCTCCGGCATGAGCCACCATGCAGATGGAGCTGCACCCAATTTGCCTCCCCAACAAAAGTTTCTGGCTGAACTTCTGTCACACATAACATAATGTTCCCTATAGCATACTGGTTTCACTTCAAGGTGCTGGCTCTGACCTTTAAAGCCCTACATGGTCTGGGGCCTGCCTACCTGCAGGACCGCCTTTCCCCATATGTCCCCCAGAGAGCACTGAGGTCGGGGTCTCAAAATCGTCTGGCCCTCCCTGGACCAAAAGACACCAGACTGGCCTCTGCCAGGGCGAGGGCCTTCTCAGTAGCGGCTCCACACTGGTGGAATGAGCTCCCAGAAGACATCAGGGCCCTGCGGGACCTCTTACAGTTCTGCAGGGCCTGTAAAAGAGCTCTTCTGCCAGGCCTTCGATTAGGAGCCGCTGCCAATAACCCTTTATATCAACACCAACAGCCGGTGAGACATTGGACACTGACTGCGACCATACTTGTTATCGTTTTATCCTGGTCTAGTGGGATTCTATCACCACCAGCACTTTACAAGCACTTTATCTGCATTTGTGACTTGTTTACGCTTTTCTGAGCCTCAGTTCAAGGTTCACGAACCAAGCTAAATCCGGCCTGGACTTTGGCTCAGGTTCGGGTCTGGGCCCATCCCTAAGTATCAGGGTATAAGTTTTTGAGAGTCACATAAACACATGAAACTGCCTTATCCCTGGTCCATCAAAGTCAGTATTGTCTACTCAGACTGGCAGCAGCTCTCTGGGGTCCCAGGCAGAGGTCTTTCACATCACCTTCTGCCAGATCTTTTAAGTGGAGATAATGGGGATGAACCTGGGACCTTCTGCATACCGAGTGGATGCTCTACCACTGAGCCACAGCCCCTCCCAAAGCTCCTTTTGCCAGACACAAGAAATGGAGATCTCTGTCGTTAATGCAGCTCAACTACCCAGCCTGCTAAGCTTCTTCTAGTAGAGCTTCCTGGTCTTTCCCTCTGTGCCTTCCATCCTTTCTTTGCTCCCCCAGAAACTGTAAAGGATACCACCATGCCTGGACGGGAAGTACACACTCACGGCAGGAGTAAGTGGTTTCTCCTTCAAAGCACTGCCCTAAGATGCCACCTAGAGGTGCCTTGTGGGTAATGCCACCATTGTGTGTGTGTGTGTGTCCTCTAAACTTTTAACCATTAATCCAGTGATTCTCAAAACAGCCTGACATGGGAGCCACTTCTAAATTACACAGTACTTTTCAGGACCCGCTTGCCAACTAATCCCACACAACTTGTCCCCTCTCTAACATAAAATCCAGGAATCTCGTAGCCGTTAACCATGATTTATTTTTTCACATTTGAATCTAGGAGGGAAAGTGGTATAGTATAGCCCAATATCATCAGATCTCAGATGCAGGGTTGGTCCTTGGAAGGGAGACCACCAAGGAAGACTCTGCAGAGGAAGGCAATGGCCAACCACCTCTACTTTTCACTTGCCTTGAAAGCCCCTTGCTGAGGTCTCCATAAGTCTTGGATGGGAGACCACCAAGGAAAGCTCTGCAGAGGAAGGCAATGGCCAGCCACCTCTGCTTCTTGCTTGCCTTGAAAGCCTCTTCCTAGAGTTGCCATAAGTCGGCTGCAACTTGACGGCACTTGACAACGCACATTTATGAATATATAGTGTCGCTTAGCAACAGGTTAAGTGACATCATCACAGTCATTTTGCATCTGATACCAACCCAAATTGAACCTCCCTGAGCCTCCTCTCACAGCTGACTCTGTACTTTCTCCTGGGCTCATGATCCATGTTTGGCTCCAAACCTGCAACATGAGAACCGCTGCATTAATCTGTACTGGGCATGTGCAGGTTGAACACAGTGTTCGCCCCGTGTGTGGTTTAGGCAGCAGTGATTGCCAGCTAATGCTTAAACCGGCTTTCCTCCCTTGCAGTTCATAGTTCGGTTTGATTTGTCCCCCCGAGTCCCTTGTTGACTTATGTTTTTAGCACGCATTTTATTTACTTCCTTTCCCGCCTGGCGTTCTTGCTGAGGCTGAAGCAGATCTGAGAGTTATAAAAGGCAATGCAAAACACGGTGTAAAACATGCAGCAAAACTGCATCACACAAATTAAAGCCTGGGAAACAGCAATGGTGTAATACATTGCATAAACTGGGTTTCACAATTAGAACACAATGATCCTTAAAAAATGGACTTCGCAATTAGATAACACTGAAGTTCAGGCAGTAGATGTCCCATAAACAATGCCACATAAAGGGGGGAATGAAAAGAAAGCTGCCTAAAAATTTCACAGGCAATTAAATTGAAACCTTATTACCCAAACAGGGAATGCTCTTCCCGCAGAATTCTATTGTACGACATCCCTCCTGCCTTTACAAAACTGCCCTTCGCAAACTAACAGAAAGCTCAGGTATGGGCCATGGTTGTTCTTGCCCTTTTTCGAAGTGACAGTTGTTGCCAGCTCCGGGTGGGGCCTTGAGATTTCCCAGACTTACAGCTGATCTTCAGACTAGATCTTCAATTCCCCCAGAGAGAATGGCAGCTTCAGAGGATGGGCGCCAGGGGTCATTTCCTGCAGGAGTGCACAGGAGCAGAGCTCCGGCAGTAAAGAGCCCAGGGGGCGGGCACATGCAACAAGCCCCACCCCCTGCTCCCAGCAGCCCTCAGTCAGAGCAAGAAGCAGCCAGGTAAGTTGCAGAGGGCCCCCTCCGGTCCAAAAGAAGTCCAGTGGCACCTTTAAGACCAAGTTTTATTCAGGTACAAGCTCTCCCTCCTCTGCGAGGACAGACCTGCACGTCCACGTCGTCCCCCCGATAGCTAGCAATCCAAAACAGTACAGTGGAGCCTGAGCGGTGGGTGTTGCCTTCTGACTCACTTCCAATTATGTCAGGGGGTGTGGCATATGGAAATAAGTTATGCTAATGAGCTCCTGCACCTCTTTTTCTACAAGATGACCCCTGGTGGACGCTCTGGCATCCCTGCCATGCCAGACCCAAAGTCCACTGTCCCCAAGCTCTACCCCCAAATCTCCAGGAATTTCTCAGCCTAGTGTTGGCAATCCATGTGACGTCATGCTCATTCAGAGTATTTATTTATTTTTATTTATTATTCAAATTTGTACCCCGCCCTCCCCGTAATGCAGGCCCAGAGTACAACTGGCATCATTCCAAGGGCTTTCCCCTTTAATTTATTTATTTATTTATTTATTTATTTATTTATTTATTTCAGTTTGTATCCCGCTCACCCCCTTAGGGCTCTGAGCGGCTTACATGTTTCAATTAACACAAATCCTAGCCTAGGGCCACATACATATGGGGAAGGTGTAGCGGATCTTCATTATTGTCTTTCTTGCGGGAGATAGTTCGGCGGCGTCCTCTCTGGGAGGGGGGGGGGAACACCTTGTTCTTATTGAGGGATCAAGGGGAACATTCAGAGTGGCTGTGGGGTAGTGTCCATACAGCCATTTTGCCACTCTAGGTATTGGGACAGACCTCCACTATCTGAGGGGAACCTCCACATCCAGAGGCACTAAGCCTTTGAATCCCAGAGCCAGGAGGCAACATGGGGGGGTGGTGGAGGCCTTGGCCTCTATGCCCTGTTGTTGGCCATCCAGAGGAACTGGCTGGCCACTAGGCTCGCCAACCTCCAGGTGGTAGCTGGAGATCTCCTGCTATTGCAACTGAACTCCAGGCGACAGAGATCAGTTCTCCTGGAGAAAATGATCACTTTGGAATTTGTGCTTGTAATGTATTGAGCCTTCAGCTGATGCTTAATTCGGACAGAGCTTGAGGGTCCATAACAATAGCTGGCTAGGATCCTAGAATGGACCAGTAGGGAGACAAGGATCCTAGAGTAAACCAATGGAATAACAATGTAATGTAAATAGCCTGTCATTGGGAGTGGGGTGTGTTTGGGGTGTAACCTTTTGCATGCATAAATACCCGGCTTCGGTCAGGGATTCTGTCTTCTTTCTACTTGCTGAAATCACAAATAAACTATGAGCTGATCACTATATGCATCTGAACCCAGTATATTACAGTACTCTATGGCAATATGCCCCAAGCCCCACCCTCCTCAGGCTCCACCCCCAAAATCTCCAGGCATTTCCCAGTCCGGAGCTGGTGTCAGACTCCCATCGCATCAACGAAGCACACACTTGTAGAAAAGGTTTTACTTTATTTGAAGCAATAGGTGCATAACAGGATCACTGTTCAGAATGAGGCATAAGCATGGATCCCAATAGATTATAAAATTCAAAAAGCTGAGGCTAGGCTTGCCAAGTCCCCCCGGGGCTTGGTGGGAAATAAATATAATTAAATCAAGATACATATTAGATAAGAAAATAGGATTCTACACGACCCTCAATGAAATAGACAAAATCTGGCTCTCATCCAGTGACAAGTTAATCCAGAAAATTTACAACAAGCTGTTAGAGGAGGAGCTCCAAGAAGAAATTATAAAAAACACTATGGTAGCGTGGATAAAAGAACTAGGATATACACTAGAAGCTGAACAATGGCAGAAAACATGGAGCTCAATAAAATACATGAGAGCGACAACATATAAAGAAAACATTTACAAAATGTTTTATAGATGGCATTGGACACTGGAAAAATTGGCCAAATGCTTTCCAAATGCCTCTAATCTATGCTGGAGATGTGGATGTAATGTGGGATCCTAGAAATTTCCCAGTGGGCCACTGTCCCATGAAAGTTAGGACAGGGTGGAGTTTGAAATCTGGCCTATAGCAGAAGTTCTTGGTGTACAATTCTTTAAATTTTATTTCAGGCAACTTAATGCTGCCTTTCCCCCCACCTTAGGGCCTCCCAATCAGTGGACAATGGAAAACATTAAAACCAGCCATATATGAAACGATTAAAAGCAACGGTTAACCAAAACACATAAACAGGAAGGAAGACTGCGGGTGACATTTCATCAGCAGGTGCAACAGGTATCAGTGGAAACCTGGCCACAACCTCCATTCTCTCTTCTCAGTTCACAGCTCCCAGCCCGGAAGACGCCAAGGACTGGGTGGATCAGATCCTGTTTCTACTTCAGGGTGAGTAGTTAAATGGGGATGGGAGCGATGCTCCCTCTAAGCTGTGGAGTCTTGTGAGCAAAAATTCTACTTTGTGAGCTACTGGCATTAAAGTTGTGAGCGAGCCATTTGGCTGCTGCATAAATCAGTTTGCTCTGGAGCCATTCTTCCTGAGCTAAGACAAAAATGTGTGAGCCGGAGGCTAAAAAACTGTGAGCTGGCTCACACTAACTCAGCTTAGAGGGAACACTGGATGGGAACTGTATGTTACATCTCAGGCAATGCTCTTCTGTACATGTTGGCCATTTGCTTGACTAACACTTGGAGCTGAGGACAAAGCTAGACTGGAAAGCTGGGAGAAGTTAGGGCCAACAAGGGGAAGGAAAGTGGGATTGTCATTCCCCTGAGAGTACCTCAATTATATATAATTCTAATTCTAGCACTGAGATTCGGAGGTTTGCTGCCTCTTTATGTAGAGGTTCCCTTTACTCACCAACGTTCGTCGCCACTGATGAACTTCTCCTCCATGAACCTGTCTAGCCTGCTCTATTGTTATGTACTGAGCCTGAACAGTACCTGGAAACTGGCTAAGCTTGTTCCACCAGAACAATAGATAGCCAGGATCCTGGAATGGACCTATAGAGTAGTAGTTGTAATGTCAATAGCCTATCGTTGGTGGTGGGGTGTGCTGGGGTGTGGTCTTTGCAGCCTTTATAAACAGGGCTGCAAGGCCAGTTTTTCAGTCTTAGAGTTGAGCTGAAATCACTAATAAGCTATGAGCTGATCACTATACGCGTCTCAAACCCAGTATATTTCATCTATGAAACAGGCAACTTCTGTCTTTGCTGTTTACCAAAAAGCACAAACCGGTATGAGGCAGAAATTTAATGATTGGCTCATGGCCGGGGCAAGAGGCTTGAAAGGGAAGAAGGAAATTTGAGAAAGCGAGAAGGGGAAGCTATTTGCAGGTTCTGAGTTGGGGAGGGGGGGGGCAATACAGAGGCTGTATTGAGAGGGGCTGTGGCTCCTGGAAGAGCCTCTGCTTTGCATACAGAAGGTCCCAGGTTCGATCCCCGGCATCTCGTTAAAAGGACCAGGCAGTAGGGGATGTGAAATTCCTCATCCTGAGACCTTGGAGAGCCGCTGCCAGTCTGAGTGGACAGTACTGACTTTGATGGACCCAGGGTCTGATTCGGTATAAGGCAGCTTCGTGTATGTTCATGTGATGCAGCAGAACATATGGGGAAAGGGAATGGGAGAAGGAGCATTCTACATTTTAAAAGACTGTTTGTTTATTTGCTTCGCTTTCTCCTCACGAGGAATCCAAAGCAGCTTACTTCGTTCACCTCTCCTCCATTTTACCTTTACAACAATCCTGTAAGGTAGGTTAGGCCAAGAGAATGCGACTGGCCCATAGTCACCCAGAAGAAATGTAGAAAAAGCAGCTGCAAGTAGTGTTCCCTCTAAGCTGAGTTAGTGTGAGCTAGCTCACAGTTTTTTAGTCTCCGGCTCACAGATTTTTGTCTTAGCTCAGGAAAGATGGCTCCAGAGCACACTGGTTTATGCGGTTGCCAAATTGCTTGCTCACAACTTTAACACCAGTAGCTCACAGAGTAGAATTTTTGCTCACAACACTCCACAGCTTAGAGGGAACATTGGCTGCAAGGTGAAAAAAATATTTATTTACTTCTTGTGGATGGTCACCCAGCCACCTTCCGTGGCAGAGGGGGGTCTTCCACATGGGTCCCCCAGATCCTAGCCTGACATTCTAACCACTGTATCATGCTTTCTCTCAACCAGGTCAGTTAGTTATCCTCTATTCACCATATCAGGCCAGCAGTTGGAGTGATGAACGAAGAATACTTTCCCCATCCTGCTCCGTATTTCCTTTATGGGTGAAACGTGGGTTTACTGGACTGCTCTGGTGCTTATGGGTACGAATCCAGGGGCTGGTATCTCCACCGAATCTAATGAACTCAAAGTCCAAGAGTGCGATCTTGCGCTATAAAAGGATGTGCTATAAAAGGAGGCAAGCCGGAGCCAATATGAAATCCAAATCTCCGTCTTTTTTAAAAGATGCTGGCAGTACTTCCTCCTTAATCCCTGGCATTTATTTTGAACACAGACCTAAGCCCCTGAAGATAGCGAGCCTTGTGCGAATGATGGGTTAATTAAAAAGTGAACTCCCATCTGCTCCGCTGGAGACACTTCCCTCCCCCCTCTTCCCTTTTTTTTTTTGTCGAGCAAAGAATATGTGCTCTGAAAGTGCCCTCTGCTGGTCAGTCCACAAAACTAGCATTGCCCCCTGGATTTGGAGGAGCTGTAACTGAGACCTAAGGCAGCTAGAACAAATCTAGACTCCCGTGGCACCTTTAAGACCAACAAAGTTTTATTCCAGGTATGAGCTTCCGTGTGCATGCACACTTTTTCAAATATATTGGAATGGGTAGGTAAGGTTCAGACTTATAGACAGGGGCTGAACAGCCAATTAACTGTAGTGTATCAAGTCCTGACAAGTCCAGACATGTCCAGACTTGTCCAGAGACAAACCTCAAGCTTCGCTCCTAGAGACAATGGACCAGGTGGATCCTAGCCCGCCCCAATCAGAGGGCTAGGTTCCTGGCCGAGAAGCCAATAGGACTCTCGGCCACTGTAAATAACCTATCTGGAAGGTAGTATCGATATACCTGAGGTAGAGATGTGAAGGCCCGGAAAAAACCCGGGAAAATTTGGGGAAAAAACAGGTTTTTTCCATTTTTTTTCCTGAAGCCTTTTTTGTTTTCTTCCGAAAAATTGGAAAAATTGAAAAAAAGAAAAGAAAAAAAATGATTATGTAATGTTTTATTTTAACAGATCTAAGGCAGCTCGGAGAGACCAGAACCCCGCCTCCTGCTCCAAAGCGAGCCCTCCTCCACAATTTCCCTTGTTGGCCAAAGTAATCCTAAACACAGGGTGCAGGAGTGAGAAAAGGCAGAGCACAGTAAGTTACGTGCTAAGCAGAAGTGTCCGGTAAAAAGGACTCCAGACATGCCCTTGCTGGAGAAGAGAAGCCCCCCCCTATGTGTCTTAAAAACTAGGGTTGCCAGCAATGCTCCCTCTAAGCTGTGGAGTCTTGTAAGCAAAAATTCTACTTTGTGAGCTACCGGCATTGAAGTTGTGAGCGAGCGATTTGGCTCCTGCATAAATTAGTTTCCTCTGGAGCCATCTTTCCTGAGCTGAGACAGAAATGCGTGAGCCAGAGGCTAAATAGCAGTGAGCTAGCTCACACTAACTCAGAGGGAACACTGGTTGCCAGCCTCCAGGTGGGGCCTGGAGATCACCCGCTTTTACAACTGATCTCTAGCTGACAGAGATCAGCTCCCCTGGAGAAAATGGCCGCTTTGAAGGGTGGACTCTATGGCATTGTACCATGCAGAGGTCCCTCCCCTCCCCAAACTCCGACATCTCCTGGATCCACCTCCAAAGTCTCCAGGTATTTTCCAACCCAGACCTGGCAACCCTACCTAAAACAGGGGAGAGTGTCAATACATGCCCTTGCTGGAGAAGAGAAGTCCCACTGCCACCACCCTGTATCCTAAAACAGGGTGGAGGGTCCATAGGGAGCATCCCTCAGCTTATTTATCCGATTGCTTCAAATTCCATTTCTCTTTCACTATTGTAGAAGGATATGGGATACATTTTGGACCATTCTTTTCCAGATTTTTTTGGTCTGGATCCTGCTCAGCTCTGAGACATGTAAAATAGGAATCACCGGGGAAAAACAAGTGCCTTTGGCGTATCCAGAGCATCTTTGGTGATACTGGGAAATCTCAGCTGGCTTTTGCTCCCAGCGCATCTTAAAACCAGAAGAAATTTTTGTATTATTATTTATTAAATTGGATTGTCTAGGCTGCCCTTCCCTACAAGAAGGGCTCAGGGTGGCTTACAACACAATAGGATACAAAATCTCAGTTAGAACTAACCGAAAACAAACCAATAAATGTCAATAGATGGAACCGTATATATACAATATACAGCCTCCCTTGGGGGTAGGGGTTCTAAGGAAAGAGATCTAAGGTCACAGAAAATGGCTTCTCTCAAGTCTGAGCGAGTTCCCGCCCCCTCGGTTTAAAATCAAAGATGAGAGGTCCAGATTCTATTTGTGACTTGATGCATCTGATTCATTTGTTGGCGTAAGATTTAACTGCGCCAAATAGTTTTCTATTTTCTCTGTGGAAATTAGCCTGTGTGGGCCACACTCCAACCAGACACAATCTCTCTGTGAGAGTTTCGATTTATAGATTGATCCCAACCATGCACAGAAGGGACTTCTGATATGCCAGTTCCCTGGCAAGGCGGGACATAAATTGAAAATAATAAATAAATAAATAAATGTGTTGGGAGACTGGATAGACATACCTTGCATCTGTCAGTCCACCTAACAAAAGAAGAGGTGGCTCCGATCCAAAGATCTGCAAGCGTAGCAGTACACAGACACACTGCTGTTACACTTGGAGAAAATTTTCACCACTTGTCTGTAATGGGAAAGGCAGCAAGAGGATAATATACTCTCCCTCTCCTATTGGTTATTGGTTCATCAGAGAAAAGGAGGGGCATATCCACACTACCAATAATTCTGTGATTAACTTTGAACTGCATGTATTAGCATACCTTTTCTATACAAAGGTTGCAGGAGGGGTGGGGCTGTGGCTCAGTGGCAGAGCATCTGTTTGGCACGTAGAAGGTACCAGGCTCAATCCCTGGCATCTCCAGTTAAAACATCTGGCAGTAGGTGCTGTGAAAGACCCCCCTGCCTGAGAACCTGGAGAGCTGCTGCCAGTCTGAGTAGACAATACTGATTTAATAGACCAAGGGTCTGATTTGGTATAAGGCACCTTCATGTGTGTGTTCATATGTGTTCAAGATTAGCAGTGATTATGTCCCCTCTCGGGTTTTTTTAAAGGTAGTATCGATATACCTGAGGAAGAGATGTGAAGGCCCAGAAAAAACCCGGGATTTCTGTGCACTTAGGACAAGCAAGTCCTAGGTTACAAACTGAACTCTCCAATGAGTAATGACAGACACAACAGAGTAGCTGCAGAAGCAGAGACTGAAACTGATACTGATAATTACAGCTCAGAAAATGATTCTGATTAAATTTCATGCCCATTCATTGAAACTTTTATTTATTTATTTATTTATTCGGCTTTTATCCCGCCCTTTCGCCAAAACGGGAACTTAGTCCCACACTCCCTTCTATACACTTCCCCTCTCTACAATTCTTTTTATGAGAATGGGGTTTTTTATTATTTAATACTGTGGAGAGGAAATATGAATAATTGTTACTTCTGGATTTTTAAAAATTGTTTTGTGGAAGATTTTTGTCTGTTCCACATAAACTAGTAAACAGTTCAGGAGATTGTTGCTCCATTTGTTACAATTACAAATAAATATTATTTAAAAAGTAAATTCTGTTTGTAATAACTGTTTGGATACACTATATTTTTAATATGCTAGTTGTGATAATTTCATGCCAAGTAAAATTGTCCATAGTAATATTTCATGTTCCTAAAGTAACAGAATGACTTTCAATCTGGAAAAGAAAAAAAGAAGTGCTAATGTAGCATTTTTTTCAATTTTTCCAAAAATTTCCGTTTCCCCCCCAAAAAACCTGGGGTTTTTTCCGAGCTTCAAAAATTCCGGACATTTTACATCTCTAACCTGAGGTTTCACCTCTGCTTATGGTATTGTTCTCCCTACCAGCAAGCTACATGCGAAGGAATACGTCCCACAGTGACCTCCAAGATTCACCCTTTAGTAATATTTTCAGAACACGCATTACACACATGCAGGGGCTATCCCACAGCTCTCTAACTCCCTTCCCAGAGCAACGTACATCTCCGTTTGGTTGTTCTTCAGAAACGTATATCTTGTTTTACAGTTTGCAGATACTCTGGGTAGAAGTGAAGCCAGGAAAGAGACCAGACATTGAATGTTTAGGATTTCTCTCTCTCTCTCTCCATTTTTTAAAACATAGCTATTCGATTTTGTTAATTGATGGAGACCTTTGATGCTAAGGATTGAAGGACTTGAACTGCTGGGAAGGCAGCCTTCTGGTAGGGTCATGGCCGGGTCCAGATTCTCTTAGCTCTCAAAGTGTAGTCACATCAAACACTTTCAGATCATTCTCTGGCACCAGTCTGGCATCTGATTGGATTCTGTGAAGCTGATTAATCTGTTGTTTTGTCTGTGATCATGAGCGAAGCGTAGGGAGTTAGAAGCCGAGCATGTGATGGGACTGTCACACATCCCATTGCGTACCTGGCAGAGGAAAGCTCCATCCTCATTCAGATGATCCTGGATCAAATCCCCCCTCCCTCTGTCACATAGTTTACTGGGTGACCTTGAGCCAGTCACTCTTTTTCAGGCTAACCTACCCCACAGGGTTGTAGTGAGGATAAAATGGAAGAGGGACCACCATGTATATGGCCATGAGCTCCTTGAAGAAAAGGTAGGATATCAGTACAATTAAGTTAATATCTGGATCCCTCCTCAGGGGTCATTTTGTAGAAAAAGAGGCGCAGGAGCTCATTAGCATAACTTATCTGCATATGCCACACCCCCTGACATCACCAGTAGTGTGTCAGAAGGCAACACCCACCGCTCAGGCTCCACTGGACTGTTTTGGATTGCTAGCTATTTGGGGGGGGACGTGCAGATCTGTCCTCGCAGAGGAGGGAGAGCTTGTACCTGAACAAAACTTGGTCTTAAAGGTGCCACTGGACTGTTTTGGACTGGGGGGCTGGGGGGAGCTCTGCAACTTAACTGGCTGCTTCTTGCTCTGACTGAGGGCTGCTGGGAACAGGGGGTGGGGCTTGTTGCATGTGCCTGCCCCCTGGGCTCTTTACTGCCGGAGCGCCGCTCCTGTGCGCTCCTGCAGGAAATGACCCCTGTCCCTCCTACAGAAAGCCAAGGACTCATTATGGTGGTTAGTTTTCCTTTCCCATGATTCTCTTGTTTCCCTCTTCCTTTGTCTGCCACATCTTTTCTATCTCCTGGCTTATCCCCTTGTCCCAGATATGAGGTCCCTTGTTATCCCTTGTGAGGAGGATGTCCGAGAAGAGGCCTACGATGACATTGACAGCTTTGATTCCTCACATACGATGCTTCAGAAGAATTCTTCTCTCAACCCGGAGGAGGAGGAGGAGAGCGAGGAAGAGAGCAAAGAGGGCATTTATGAAATCCTACCAGGTAAGCAGATTATCAGATGCATCTTTTCTCCTTTAAAATGTCAATAACAGAGCAAGAGAGCCACTTTCAAATGGTGAAACTGAGTGGGGACCGCAGGGTAAAAACCCCTCTCCCTTCCCTGCACAGCCCCAAGGCAATTTGAGGCTCCGTGGGCTTACAGTTAGCATTGATGAACAAATCTTGTCTCCTTAAGCCTTCAGAATGGTAAGCCAACCGGTCCAGTATTGTCTATTCTGACAAGGGTTGCCACCACCACCATCCAGTCAGGGTGGAGATTCCACTGATTTCGGGGGCTCCAATCCGATGCCGGCCAGCTGGCTGGCGGGGGAAGCCCCACCCCCAAGCAGCCTTCTCCCATGTCACTGGAGCAATAACATCACCCACTAGTGACATCATCACATTGCCGACGTCAGGGGGGGGGTGATGCTCTATTTTGGGGGCAACTCTATGGTATGGAGGGCAAAAAACCCCATCGAGTTTTGCCCCAAAACTAGAGCGTCACCCCCCCTACACAGATCAGCAACATGATGACATCACTTCTGCATGACATCATGACTTGGGAGCCCCGTGCCGAATCGGAGGTAGAACCTGGAAGCCCTAATTCTGACAGGCTTCCAAGTCAAGCATATGTGTGTGCATTTTTAAAACATCCTATTCATCCTTAATATTTATAGCACAGTAACTTTTTCCTGCCCTTGTACCTGAAAATAGAATAGTGCCCACTTGAATGGGACAACCTGGGGCACAGTCCTTTTGTCTACAAAATACTTCTGCCTGGAATATATTATTATGCAAATCAGTGTGAATCATCATGTCAATTTGCAAGTGAAGGCAAAAAGAAAAAGACAAGACAAAGGAGACTGAAGAAGCTGCTTCAGCTCACCAGAAATAAAACTGAGCTCACCGGGAAGGGGACGGGTGGGAAGGGGTGGTATGAAATCTTGCAGATTTTGCATAGCTCAACTCAAAACCACGTTGAGCTTTTCAGTGGGGTGTGAAACGACAAGTCTGGCTCCTAGAAGACAGCCCAAACCATATTTGGGAAGAACAGGCAGCATCCACTGTGGACCCATGAGTGAAAAGTGGATGCTTTTGGTACCATATGCTCAGCCTTGTATTTCCTGAGATGTTTGGACCTTTGCGTCCCAGGCCCGTTCTCCTCCATCCTACCCCACCAAGCTGTTCCTAGTCCATAGGGCTGCCAACTCCAGGTTGAGAAATACCTGGGGATTAGGGGAGTGGAGCCTGAAAAGGGTGGAGTCTGAGGGAGGGAGGGACTTCAGTGCCATAGAATCCACCTTCCAAATAGGCCATTTCTCCAGATGAACTGATCTCTGTTGACTGGAAGTCAGTTGTAATAGCAGGGGATCTCCAGCCACCACCTGGAGGTTGGCAAGACCACTAGTCCATCAACTCACTGTTCTGTGCCTCTCCTTTTCTAAATTCAAACTTGCAACAAATTGTTTCTCTGCCCTTCTTGGTGTTTCTGGCCATGTTACATTCTGAAGGCTGGGGCGAGAGAGATTTCCTGGCCAAGGAGGAGGAGATTATTGGATTTATATCCTGCCTTTCACTACCCAAAGGAGTCTCAGAGTGGTTTACAATCTCCTTTCCCTTCCCCTCCCCACAACAGACACCCTGTGAGGTAGGTGGGGCTGAGAGAGCTCTTTCGAGAACAGCTCTTGAGAGAACAACTCTGAAAGAACTTGTAACTGACCCAAGGTCACACCAGCAGCTGCATGTGGAGAAGTCGGGAATCAAATCCGGTTCTCCCAGATTAGAGTCCACCCTCTTAACCACTACACCAAACTGGCATCCTGAAAGTACCCTCAGTCTTTAAGGAACACGAGTGCTCTTTTGTCAAATTCCTTACTGACTTTTCACCTGTTGGATGAAACCATAGCTAATCCAGGCTATTCAAGACAGCAAAACCCATAACACCATTTTGAAGTAAATGCCCATCGTCCCCTGTTGCTAAGAAGTGAATAGTCAATCTGGGAGCATCGTCTAGCTCAGCAGTTTTGAGCAGGGGTCGTTTCATAGAAAAAGAGCTAGGGGAACGCATTAGCATAACTCATTAGCATATGCCACACCCCCTGACATCACCGGAAGTGTGTCATAAGGCCCGGCGGTGGACCTGCAAGGCCGGCGGGAGTGCAAGGAAGCCACGCGAAGGCCCTCCCTGGCCCCAGGCAGGCAGGGGTGGGGAGAGGCAGGGAGGAAGCAACTTACCCTCCCTCTCCTCCTGCCTCCTCCTGGCTGAATGAGGGCCGGAAGCGGGGCAGCCGGAAGCAGGGGGCGGGGCTTCGTCATGTGCCCTGCCCCTTGTACCTCACCCGGGGGAACTGCGATCCCCCGCAATCCCCCCCAAAATGACCTCTGGTTTTGAGCCTTTTGGGTATGGTGATACTCGAGTCCAAATTTACTTGGTATAGTAATCCGTCCAGGGGTGACCGAAGGTTTTTTGATGTCCTGGGCAAACTATGACCTTGGGCCCCCATCTAGTTCATCCATTTTCTGCAGTAGCTAACAAGATGTTTTTGAGAAACTAACGAACGTCACACAAAGGGTGCATCTGCCCCATTATGAACCCCAAGTCAGTAACATTCTGACATCTGCAGCCTTTGCATACGGAGGTTGCATACCAGCTTTTGAGACACACCCCTCCTTCACCATTGCTCCCTCCAATCCCCCCTAAAATTCTAAGAAACTCACCCGAGTAACCAACAGGACACGTTTTACTTGATCAACGTGTACATGTAGTGAAGAAAAGAAATGCCAAGTAACGTATGACACGAAGATAACTGTTTCCAGGGTCATATCTTTGATTTTGAAATACAAAAGACAGGAGTGGAAAGGGCAGCGGGGCGGCCATTACAGAGAGCTGGCCCACAACCCACTTTCAGAGGCTTCATGACCCATTTTTGGGTGCCAGTCCACAGGCTGGGAAACCCTGGTTTTCGCTATCCACCCCCGTACCACCACTATGCATATGCAGAAAGCGGTGTACAGATCTGCTCTTCCAGCAGGAGCAAGATTCCCTTGGCATCTTCCTGCAGCAGGACCTGCACATGGGGTCCTGCGCATGAAGTAGATCAGGGACTCTAGTTTTCTGTGTGGGTTATATATTTGCCACCGCTGGAGATGCTAGCAGTATCTGTAGCGCGCACAGAAGAGGACTCTGGGATCAGAGTGATTTAGGTGCTGCTCTGGGGTGCAGCTGTGTTTGTTCACTCTAAAGTATATAAATAGAACTATTTAGAGAGAGAGATGTTTTGCAGTTGTGGTTTTTGAGCAGCCACACTTCTTCTGTAGGGACGCGCTAATATGCAGAATCCTCGCACGGGCACAGCTGCACTGCAGAAAGATGCCTGCAGAGCAAACTGCCGATGATGTGAACAAGAATGCCCAGGTGACAAAATTAGGGCCTGATGTAGAAGAGTAATATCTTCCTGACCCTCAAACGTTGTGAGCTCTCAGGACCTATAATATGTTACATTTCCCCCCAGGTCCTTCCAAACTACCTGCACTTGCTAATTCCCCACTTGGAACTCAAATCCCAGGTGTGTAGGACTGGTTTGGGTCTGGACTGCAGTATGCGGAGAAATGGGGCTTCATCCTTCTTCCTCCAGGCTTTTTCCCAACCTGAAATTGTCCAGGGGTGGTGGTGGTATACTGATGGGATCCCAGTGGGGCAAATAGTGCCCCCCAAGGCCATTTCAAGTCAGGGAAAAAGCACAAGGCATAAGCACCCTCTTCTGATGCACCAGAGTTCCAATCAGAACCAGATCCCCACACACCTGGGAAATAAGTCTAGCAGGGAACTCACAAGCGCACACCTGACTGACAATTCTTGTGACAGGCCTGGACTCAGTCCAAAAACTCAGTGGGTTAGATCCAGACAAAGGGCTCTTCTGCATTCTCATTTTCACCACTTATGTGTCCCTATTGCTTCAGAGTTTTTTCCTCTTTTCCACGTGTGTTTCCCTCCCTCTAGTGGTTGATTCAATATTACATCTCTGTATGTCCGGCATAAAAACCTGCAGTTTGCAGGGAGATGTGCCAGACATACAGCAGTGTAATATTGGGGAGGGGTGGTATTTTTCAGTTCCTACTGGAGATCAGGGCCCTGTGGGACCTTCTACTGTTACGCAGGGCCTGCAAAATGGAGCCTTCGGGTGAGGCTGTGGGCGTCCACCTCAGTTGGCCTCCCTGTTCTAGTTCCCTACCTGCTGAAAGGGCCCATTGATTCCATCTTGTAGCCCCAACAGATTTATATGAAATTGTCGTTACCTGCACAATTTTATTGTCTATTGTTTTAATGACTTTAATGTGATTTTATTGTAATGAGTCGATTTGTTGTGATCTGCCCTGAGCCCACTTGGGGAGGGTGGAATAAAAATCTCGAAATAAATAAATAAAATAAATGTGTGGGTGGATGTGCACCTGGAAGTCATGTTGACCTCTGGTGACTTGACTGTGTGTGCACCTGGATGTCCTGGCGGCCTCTGGTGACTGACCCCTACTGGGGGCCTTGAGGATGTTCAGAGAGGTGGCTGAATGAAGCCTGCTCCCGCCTTCCGGCTGCTGGTATTCCAAGGAGGTCTCCCAGAGTTGACCCTGCTTAGCTTCGAAGATCTGACAACCTTGGGCTTGCCTGGGCTACCCAGGTCAGGGCTCACCAATGTAATATTGAATCGACCACTAGAGAGAGGAAAACATGAGTGGAAAAGGGGGGGCGGGGACACCCAAAGAGATAAGGACACAGAAGTGATGAAAATGAGATTGCAGAAACACCTAAGCTGGCAAATTGCACCAATTCCTCTTTCCCACTGGAGACAAGAACAGTTTTGTGGAGATCAATGGGCTGCAGTGGGAGGGGGGAAGCTGGAAACTTTCATTCTGCCTTTAAAAATGTAGTCTGGATCCAACCCAGTATCATACAGGTGGGACCTGATCAGACCCTATAAATTAGCAGATCCTACTTATGAAAATCCCTCACATGGACTTTTAGTTTGGATTCACCTTTAGAAGAAGAAGAGAAGAA